AAAGCTTCGGGAAAACTTGATGTAATTATGTTTGCCGATGACACAAACTTATTTTATTTCTCGATTTCAATCAAAGACTTTTATGAACAAAAAGCTTAAAAGATTAAATGTATGTTTGAAATTAAATAAGTTATCACTAAATACACATAAAACAAAATGCTTATTGTTTCATTCCAAAAAACAAAAAAATAATATACCAACTATCCTTCCTATTCAGAATTAGAAATTTGCAATACAAATATTATTAAAAATTCTAATGAAGCAGTGCGAAACCAGGCACTACTATGCTGACAGCTTAAAGACACGCAATTAAATTTGAATTTAATTGCGTGTCTTTAAGCTGACACAAATTAAATTTGAATAAAATTTAAGAACGATAAGAGCGATTAGAAAACAGAAGTCTTATTATCAAGCCCCTATAGTAAACGTAAAGTATTTTTACAAATTTCTATTTGTATATATTAATAAGTATTTCTTATATAAAACAAGTTAATACATAATTACAATAAGATACAATAAATTGCAATAATAAAATTAGTAAGAAACATAACAAGATTATTATTATTATTATTATTTTAATTTTATTTTAACTTAAAAATGCAAAAATATGTTTAAATCTGTTATTTCAAGTAAATACTGTTTAATTAAATTTTGTTATTTTTAATAAATTTAATAAATTGTAATATTTTTAATAAATTTAATAAATTAATAAATAATAAATTGTGTTCCATAGACGAGCTACTTTATTTGAAATTGAGTAATCGGATTTTTTAAGAGTTATGGATAGAACACCTTATTAAGTATTTACATTAAATTTAAAAAAATCGGTTACTAAAGAATTTTGGAAGCATATCGTTTTGATATTTGAACATGAATAACAAGTTTGGAACAAATTTAACTTATAGACATTATGAGCCTTAATTTCCCGGAGTATCGGCTTGGAGTGTGCGAATTCATATATATAACATATAATTCTACTGGTTTGTTTTTGATTAATGCTTATGTTTTTTAATGATAAAATGCAAGTAGGGGAGAACCTTAATGAATGGGACAGTTTTCGTAAAATGCATTTTTTGAGGTTGATAAATTTGTTTAAAAATCACTTTGAAAATAGTTTGATAACTGTTAACTCTCGTACTATGATAAACAAAAACAAAAAAATTGATTCCGCATATGGGTATTGGTAAAAAGAGAGTTTAATAAGACCATGGCATTGGTCCCATTCATTAAGAACTACTCATTGAATGGGACAAATAAAATTATTGAATGGGACAAATCTAAAAAATTAATAAAAGAAGAGAGGTCCTAAGTAACTTTCAAGCCAGTCAAGCAGTAAGGGTAGTTTCTACCATTAGGGAACCCGAAAAAGCTATAAATATGGCCGAATGTCTGCATATATTGACAAACCTAAAATAGTTTTATTAAAAAATATATGTATATTAAAATTAAATTAAAAACACGAATAATTGTTTTTAGTAAAACAAAAAGCGTTTTTTAAATGCTTGGATATAATTCCCAGTAATGACACATTTCCAATAGGGAAATAAGACATTGCCTGCAGCATCCCTATGCTAAATTATAAATAAACAACTTAATACCATATAAAGTATCTAGTTTACTTTCAAAAAACGAAATAACAAAGCATCTTATTAGATATTTAAAAAATTCATTGTATTTATGTTTAACTAAAATATAAAAATCAACAATTATTGCTTGTTGCAAAGTACATGAAATAAAAACCATCAAAGAAAGTGTAGAAGATATTAACAGTCAACTTCACATAGTTCACATTCATAATAACGCTTCTTGCTGTTATTATTACAATTACCACATATCCACCATTGACAAGTAAAACACTGAATCCAAGCAGGCCCATCGAAATTTTTCCAGTTACATTTGCATAATTTGCAAGTATTTTGTTGTTGTTGGTTTACGGGTGCATTTTTTACAGATGACACAATTAAAAAATCTGCATCAAAGATTTCTGTTTCTTTCCCTCTTTTGAGGTCAATTTTTCTTTTTAGATTTTGTGTGGTAATTTTACCAGTTTCAAAAATGTTCTTCTTATTTACTGTCTTTTCTGGAGTTTTAGTTAATATAGTACTTTTACCCTGCTTTCTTCTTTTTTTAGAATCTTTTCTTGGGGTTGCTTTAGGGTACGGATAAATAGATTCTGGACTAACTATTTTGACTGATAATTCTGAAGAATCAACTTGTTTATTTATTTCATATGATTGTTGATTATCTGGTTGTTTAATTTCTGGTTGCTCGACAAGAAGAGGTCTGTCACTAACACTAGATGATATGAAATCACTTTCCCAAAATATTTATCTATTGAGTGGATAGATCCCACATTTAGATAACCCACTGCAAACATTTTTTATTGTAAACGACATATTATATGCTTTGCATGCTAGCTGAGGTAAATTATATATGTTAATAATTCTCCCTGGATTGGAGGCCAACCATTTATTCTGAGCCAATCTAAAATAAGATTTAAAAGGACCAAACACCGAAACATCCAAAGGCTGCAATCTATGACTGCAGTGTGGCGGAAATGTTAATAAAATCAAAGAGTTTTCTTTTGCAAATGTTATTGTTTCAAATGAAATGTGGCTTTCGTGGTTGTCCATTCATAACAGCACTGGATGCTCCACAGATGGCTTAGCATGGGAAACAAAGTGCTTCATTGCAACTAAAAAGTTCTCACTTGTCATCCAACCACTTTTGTTACACAGCCCTATATTTATACATATTACAAATATCATACATCAACATATCTAATTAAACATTTATCCATATTTATACATATTACAAATATCATACATCAACATATCTAATTAAACATTTATACATATTATAAATATCTTACATCAACATATCTAATTAAATATTTAAAATTAATTTCATTTAATAAACTATTGATCGACTCAACTTTAAAGAGTACTAAAGAAAAGATTTTAATAGAGATTTAGTTCTATGAACACAATTTTGAATTTTAGCTAAAGCATTGGTCACACTTATTTAGAACCACATTTTAACATCAAATTAAAACGTATTTAAAAATAAAATTATGTGTGACCATAACTAATTTGCCGAAATATATTTTTCTACTTTTTTCATATCAGGCTGTTTGGACAAGTCCCATTCAATAATCAATACTTTGTCCCATTCAATAGGCTTCCCACTATATCCACAAATGACAGGACAGGTTAAAAACAGTAATACCTAAACAAAAATACTTTACAAACTTAAAAAGTAGAGACATTTGGGTGTTGAAAATTGGAGTTTCATTTTCCTTAACTTTAGTAATCGCTGCAAAATCAGACACAGAAAATTGTTTTTAAAAATTACTTATTGTTCTTCAAAACACAATAACATCCAATGCCATTACGTTTAGACCATAATAGAAATAAAGATTTGGTCTGTTGAATGGTTGTGTCAAACACTTATTACCACAGGAGTTTGGATTGCCAACCGTAGATGCTTATATGCAAATTTGATTTTGTCCCATTCAATAATTGTCCCATTCATTAAGGTTCTCCCCTACTTTAATTATTGTTATAATTGTTGCTACTTCATTATTACTACATTTGTTAGATCTTATATAATAATTTAATTAAATAATAATTTTAACATAATATATTAACGAACCATACACGAATTATGACGGTTTAGAATTCATTTTTAATTTACCTAAATTTTTATCGAAATTTTTTTTTTTTTTTTTATTCGTAAGACACTTTTACAAAAAACTTTTTATTTACAAACCGTAGTAGTAGGCAATTACGAATATTTATTTGATGTCAATACCACAGACGATTATTTAACTCTAAAGTGTTGTGAGCTGTCAAAAAGTTTAATATAGGTTTAATAACAACAAATTAATTAATCATGGTTTGTGCTGCACTGTTGAGTTCAGATTAGAGAAAATCTAACTTAGTGAAAATGGATCATTTCATTAGTTACATTGCTAGAGCCATTAGACGCAGCCAAACTGTCATTAGAAACTATGTTAATAGTCCTATTCCTATGGAATAAAAAAAGGTCCCGGACGTCCTTCAACATTGAGTGACTTAAAAGTGAAGAGAAAATTTGTTGAGACAAGCGTTAAATTATGTATTAACTGTACGTTAAGTAGCTGCAGAAGCAGGTGAGGTTGCTAATTTACTTACAGTTCAGCACGTTATTCATAATGCTTTTTAACTTTTGCGCAAAAAAAAACTTCAGTGAAAACCACCGTTTATAAGAAAACACTTAAACAATCGAATAACTTTTGGATCACATAATTAAAAAGAAGAGTGACGACTAGTATTTTTTGACAAAAATGAATTGTCTTGATGGGGTTAATAGATGAAGTTATTGTTTTTACAATTTGTCACACACAGTGTTTGAAATTGTTGAAGAAGTTTTACGGTGTGAAGCATCTGCCATTGGTAGTGAAAATTTTTTTTTTAAGCAAGATAATGCTAGCGTTTTTTAGCAAGATAATGCTAGCGTTCATACGGCTAAGATAGTAAAGGATTGTTTCAACAACAAGTTGGTAAGTGGGTATAAAGATAAGAAAATGATGTCTTTATCATTTACAAATCGATTTAACAATATTCTCTCTACTCTAAACTTTAATAACAAGTTTGAAATAAATATAAATGAAAGTTATTTAAATGTAAAAAGGAAATAGAGATAAAAAATATTTACTGGTTCCAAAAATTAATAAAAATACTTAATATAACATTGCAAAGTTATATAACTATCTATATATTGTAATAAATATTGCAAAGTTACATAACAATTATATAACATAATTATATAATTTTTATAATTAAAACAAGTATTTATAGAATTGTTAATAAAGTTACTAACAACAACAAATGATTTTTTACACCTACTTATATCGCAGCGCAAAACCTAACTCATTAAAAATTAATGAGCTGCGTTTGAAAATTAATGAGCTGTGTATTGACTAGCTGACAGTGCTTAAAGCGCTCAAAAAATCTGTTTATTAAATTTATGAGATTGATTTGATAATTTTTTTTTCTCATATGGTTTGTGTAACGTAATTCGAAATATCAATATCAACTCAAAAATTCGATAAAGAAGGTTTTTGAGTAGATAACAAATTATTTAGTAGAAAAAAAACTAGGTTTCAATATGAGGTAAACTTCAGAACTATCGTTTATTATTATTACTGTTATCATTATTGTTATTTTTTATTATTTTATTTTTTTGAGTTTAATAAAGAACTTTAAATAACGTGAAATTTTTATAACTAAAACTCATAATTATTTTGACTTTTTTTCTTAAGTTGCAACTTGTTAAAAAAGTTCGGGCTTGCTATTTGTGGTGTAGGTCGAGCTGGAACAATTCATACTAAAAACTGTTATCGGAATCCTAGAGTTCAAATAAAATACTTTGTTGAAATTGATACTACAAAAGCTGAACAATTAAAAAATTCATTAGGACTAGAGAGCACAAAAGTTGTTAGCGTTGATCAAATAGATAAAGTCCTTAGTAATTGTTTTTAATGATTACTATTTTTATTTAAGTTATTAAATTTGTTTTATAAACATACCTTAAAATATATTTAATATTTACTAGCGCACTTTAAAAAGTTTGTATAGTTTTACTTAATTTTCATTTTGATACTTAGGCGATGAATCTGTTGATGGCGTCATTATTGCCTCAATAACAAGTACTCATCAAGAATTAATTTTTAAATGTATCCAAGCAAAAAAGCCAGTGTTTTGTGAAAAACCAATTGCATTACAACTGCAAGATATAGGCAAGTTAATATTCTATCTTATTTTGCCATGTATTTTTGTTAAACAAATTTATAAACATTATATTTGCCTATATACATTTATTTTGCTATATACTATATTTATCTATTTTTGGTCCTATTTACTTTTAAAAAAGTTTAAAAAAAAAACTAAACTCTCATTTGAGTGACGAATCAGATGTCTGTTTTAAAACAAAATTTTTGTGCAGCATTATAAAACTTTCATTGAAAATAATTCCTAAAATTTTATCTAAAGTATCTATATTTAAAAAAATCAAACTTTTTCCATTTTTATATCAATACAATTTTGATAAACCCAAATATAAATTTGTAAGAAAATTAGTAATTCTAAGTGAACTACCTAATAACGCTACTTTATTGGCAATTCACAGGTTTTTTGTTGCTCTATCAATTATTTGATTACTACCGTACAACTTATGCGTCCAGTGCCTAAATCTATTTTAAGAACTAACAAGTTTTTTTTTTTGAGACACGTTGTCATACTAAAACACGTTATGTGCTGTAGTATATATATATATATATATATATATATATATATATATATATATATATATATATATATATATATATACATATATATATATATATATATATATATATATATATATATATATATATATATATATATATATATATATATATATGTGCTGTAGTATATATATTAGTTGTTCTATATCGTAGTAGAACTCTTAACTAGTAGAAATTTTATAACTAGCCCTTGGCAAAACTTCTGTTGATGCTATATTTTATACACCATTAATAAAAGTTTAACCTTAATGATAAAATTATTGGTTACATTCTTTTTAACGTTATTATTACTTAACATAACGATTTACTGGAATATTTATTACCTTGTATTTATTTATTATATTTATAGCTATTTGCTATGAAACGGCGGCCAAGGAAAAGGTGCCCTTATTCTGCGCGTTCAACCGTCGTTTTGATACGTCTCATGCACGTGTTTGCAAAGCTGCCCAGTTAGGAGAAATTGGTAAAATACATATGGTGCGATGTATTAGTCGAAATTCGCCTCTGCCTAGTGATGATTTTCTTAAACAATCGGGGGGCATTTTTCACGACTGTGCTGTACATGATATAGATATGATTACATGGATATTGGGTGAATATCCTATATCTGTTTTTACATACGCGCATGCATTCCGTCAAAGTATACTAGAAATGGGAGATGTTGACACTGTTTCCATAACAATGAAATTTGCATCTGGTTGCTTAGCTCAAATTGATATCAGTCGGTTTGCAGCGTATGGTTATGATCAACGGATTGAGGTCTTTGGAGAACTAGGCATGTTAGAGAGTGTGAACCAACATAAAACATCTACAATCAAATCAACAAAAGATCATATATCTCGAGATCTGTTATTACAATCATTTCCACAGCGTAACGCAGAAGGTTACGTTAACGAGCTTGAACATTTTTTAGAAATTATTGAAGGAGCTACATCAACTGTCACTGGCAAAAATGTGTTGATGGTATCTTTGATAGCTTCAGCGTGTGAAAAATCTTACAAGAGTGGCAAGCCAATAACAATTCACGAACAAAGCATAACGTTCAAGCCATCATTTTAACTTTTTGGTTTGAACTTTATGAAAAATATTAAAAAATGCACAATAATTTTCTTTTTAAGTATGTTCTTGTTTATTTGAAACTTTAAGGTTATAAAATGCAACTACTAAAAAACAACCACAAACGATTTGTCACCCCCGTTAAAGAACAATTAACAATTACTTATTTTATATGAGCTTCGTGTCTTTTCTGATTATGACCCCTCGTGTCTTTTATAATTACTTAATAAATATTGACAAAAAATGTTTTTCGAATAAATATTGCTGCTTATAAAATAAAATAAAGAAAAAAGCACAATACGTTTCAGCTAATATTTTAGTCATTAGTGAAAACTGTTTAAAAACTTCATTCATAAATCAAAAGTATTTTGAAAAACATCAAATATGTATAGTTAAAAAAACAACCCGAGTTTCTTCGTTTAAAGCCCATGCGATGCTCCTTTGCAAGATCTTTTGGTTTTCTTGGATCACTTTAATAAACAATATTTGAATAAAAATACTTTTCTACACAATGACAAGTTTGAAAACATCTCATTTTGCTTAGTTTCTGGAAACAAAACACATTTAAATAGTTTGTTAGGTTCAATTAATTTGTACAAATCAACATTTCGTTATACACATAGCATTACTTATACACATTTCATTATAAAGTAATGTGTATAATTAATGCTTAATTCGGCTGAAGAATATAACAAAATGTGTATAAATAATGCTCAACTCAAACTCAAGAAAAACAAATATAAAACCAGAAACTGCAAACACTGTGAAAAATAAAAAAATTAACTAACAAAATTTTAACTACGTTTACAAAATATAAAGAAACTATACAATAAGTAATGCTATGTATATATATATATATATATATATATATATATATATATATATATATATATATATATATATATATACACATAGCATTATTTATTGATGGTACACCTAGAGTAACTTGTGCCGTTTCATAACAAAGTGGATGAACTAACATCTGACTTTCCCACTATGATAGCACATCCATATTTAAATTAATAGACTAATCATTTTTGTAATCAGAAGAGAAATATTTAATTTGCTTTTAATGTTTTGTATTAGTAGATTATCTTTTGTTTGCTTATTGAAAAATTTAGCTCCTTCCTTTGCAACTTCTAGGAAAAAAATTTTTCTTCTTAGAATAAAGTGGTGTTTAATTTTGTATTTTGATTTTCAGGATTTTTGTTATCTTTTTCGATTTCTATAACTTTTTTTCGAAGTCATATTTCTTAATATTCCAAATTTGGTAGGTGTCGCCTAACGTTAATAATTCTGCTTATTTATTCAATGTAGCCAGCTATTTTGCGAGGCTGCATTTAATTAAGACACAATTGCAAAGTTTTCTACTCGTTCAATGAAAATGCATATGTATCATATGCATTTTCATTGTCATATTTTCTTAATTCGTTATATAAATCTCGATATGACATAATAGATTTAAACGACAAACGACAACCAATAACTTCTTCTAGACTTGTTTTTACTGTACATAAATAGTGAATACTATTTATCGTTTTTATCAGCTGTTGCTGTCTTATTAAAATGTTTTCAATAAATCTGAAACATTTTTCCTGGTATTTTTTTCTGAATTCATCAAATCAAGCTTTAATGTGGAAACAACTTAGGGGAAAGGCGCCTATGATGGCATACTTAACTTTGAAGCTTCATTATCCAGTATCCTGAAGATCAAGAACAAAGATTTTGATATGGATACATTCTTTGTTACATGTAGAATAATAATAACCTTAGAAGTTTTCATCAGCTTTATTTTTTTATTAGTTACTTTTATTTTAAAAAAAAAAGCAAAAGTATGCCATCATAGGCAACTATTGCTCCTATGATGGCACAGGAAGAATGGGGTTGGTTAGCATCAAGAGTAACTTGAAAATTTCAATTGACTTAAGAGTCTTCCCTCAGAAATGCCAGAAACTACGCGAAATCATCCTAATTAACCCCTTCGTGCTATACAGCAGCAGTGTCAAATTTCGCGCATGCGCATAAGAGATATTGCGTTTTATGTGTTTTTTGAACCATAAATTTTTTAGTTAAGTAAAAATTCTTTTTTACTTCAATAACAAGTTTGTTTTTGTTGTTTTTATAAAAAAAAAAAAAGGTTTTCTCTACTCCTCAATATTGCAACACACCGAACTCGTAAGTATGCCATCATAGGAAGAAGTCATCTTTTTCATTTAAACAACCTGTCTACTTTTTTCAAAAGATAAAATTAAAGTAAGTATTCCAATAAATGCACAAAACATGGAAATAAAATGCATGAAAATTTTATTTCTGTACAACAAGCGCGGAATCCTACCGGGAAGGGAAGATGGAGGGGCGCTACAAGGTAGGGATTGGGGTAGAAAATAGGCTAGTGTTTATATAAAGGTCTTTTTAATTTTACTTATGTATGAAACATACATGATAATAATAATAATGGTAATAGTAATAGCAATAATAACAATAATAATAATAATAGCCATAATAACAACAATAATAATAATAACACGATGAATTTATTATGATAAATGAATAATAAACCCCTTTTTAAATCATTTAAGATAAAAAATAAAAAATCAAAATGGACTCTGTGGTTTATCTGGTATTTATACTGTAACTGACTACAATCTCCTAATGTAATTTATAGAAGCAACATCTTTGATAACTCTACGGAATCCTTACACAAATAGCCAATTACGTCCTCAACTGCAATTGAATCCAAAATGTTCTTCTAGGTCGACATCAGCATAAATATTTCAAGCTTGTTGTTACATAATGACAAACGCAGCCTAGTTTTGACAATTTTTAATTTACTAAATGCCCCGTTCACAGATCACGTGTGAGAATGAAAGTGTTAATAGATATTCGTAAGCCATATTAGAATAAGCAATTGCATTCAACGAATATTTGTATAAAATACTATAGCAACATTTTAAACATTTTTTACAAGACCCTTACACAAGGCTCAAAGTTCTAAAAATCTCTATCGTTCTCATTTTCACTTGCTTTTGTTAAAGTATCCAACTCTGAGACTGATTTTGAATTTGATTCTTCTAAATCTTTATCACAAGGGCTCACGGTAAATTCATCTTAGAGTGTTTTTGAGAGCCTATCAAAGTTTATAGCAATGCTATACAATTCAGATCTCAATCTTTTAGAACAAAGATTATTTGAAAAATTTTTGCATGACTTTCTGGAATACCATTTTCAACAATTTCTTTAAAACGTCTGGGATCTAAACACGCAGTGTCTCTAATGATGTCCCTGTTAACTGAGAAACGTTTATCTATGCTAGTGGTAATCTGATCAATTACTCTACGGAAAACATCTATTCTGAAACGATCAAGAGGATTCTCTGGTATGTCATTAAATGCGAGTTCCCCTGCCATACGTTTTTTTCGATGAACTCGTTCTACACGCAATTCTGTTTCAACTTCTGAATCAAGTTCACTAGCATCAGGTGGGTGTTGATTTTTTTAACAAATGCAATTGTCTTGGAATGCACATCTTTGAACGATATTGTCTGCAGTTCTTGTTTTGCTGACTCTACCATACTCCAAGTACTTAAATAATCCAGAACTCTTGATTGCAAATATTCGGATGCTTGTCACAAAACGGTGTACACACGTAGAAGAAGACAGCCTGAAAGAAACACATCGAATTGACACCATTTGTCATGTAGTGCTGTGGCTTCGAATGTTGATTTTGCATCGAATCTTGAAAACATTCTAATACAATTAAAAACTTGCAAAAGAGCATAGAACAACTCCACTAGTGGAGCATCATAAGTTCCAAAAATTCGTTCAAGCACCATCTGCTTCGACCATCAACGTGTTTTACCAATTTTTTGCAGTCTTTTCAGTTTTGCAGATCCAACTCCTTGTCCAATGTGAATATTTTTCCAAACGTTCATTCGTTTGCAAGAACCGCCAAAGTAAGTTGCTGTACTCTGCAAGAGACCAATTAAATTTTTGACAGCTAATATATTTTCCACAATATCTGTTGCGGACAAATTTAGAACGTTCGCGTAGCACCACATGTATACAGCATTTGGTGAAACATCGTTAGTGTAACGTTGAACTCCATGATATTCACCACGCATGTTTGCTGCTCCATCAAAGGATTTACCCACAATTTTTTCCATTTTTAAACCATTGTGTTCAAGCTCTGATTTCAATAGTTGGTATAGTCCTGCACCTGTTGCATCAATAATTTTTTTTATTGCAAATAATTGCTCTTTCACGTCCTCTCCAAGTACATATCGTAAGATTATTGTCTCCTGATCAATCACCGACGTATCTTGACTATAACATCTATTTAAACTCTGAACTTCTCTGATCACCAATTTCCTTGATTATACAATTCTTCATCAAGTTTGAAATAGCAGCTAGAATATTGTTAACTGTAGTCTTTGACAACATTGTTTCCAAGCCTCCACGTCAACGTGAGCTTCCTTTCCTTTACGTATCAAACAATCTTTCCTTTTTTTTGACTTGCCTGAATAGATTTTTCTATATGATTATTAAGAGGAATGTCAAATTCTGCTATCAGCAATATATCAGTTCCAAAAAGTTTCCGTGATCAATAGATTTATCGTGTAAACTGTAGAGAGGTAGCCCCCAATTACCTCTGTATGGAAGAGATTGCTTTCCAATAAAAATTGGTGCAAAAATTCGTTTAAATACTTTGATGTTTTTCAATACTTGCGCTTTCTGCTTTTCCACTATATCTTTGTTGATTAAAGAGCTTATATCTTTCTCTTTTGTACAACTTAATAGTGCAATTACAGCAGCGTAATTTGATTTTGATTCTTCATGGTCTTGATTCTTCGGTATATATTTGGAATACTTTTTAAATCCAAGAGTAAAACTAGAATCTTTTTTCGAAAATGCTGTTTATGCATTGCAGTAAAGTGCCACGATTTGATTGTCTTTAACTCTCGCGGTTATCCAACGTCTTTGTACATACTTATTATCTGAAATCAATCTTTAGTACACTCTTTTTGGATCATACGGTAAATGCTTAACATCTTTATGGTTCGGCTGAATCATGTTATTATTTACTAATGCTGTTCTTTGGTTACGCTGTGCAGTGTCAGGAAGCCGTTTATAAATCAGTTTTGTTGTTTTGGTACACTGATGTTTATGGTTGAGAATAC